GTCTTGCTCTGTCGCCCAGGCTGGAGTGCAGTGGCGCAATCTTGGGTCACTGCAACCTCCACCTCCCGGGTTCAAGGAATTCTCCTGCCTCAGCCTCCCAAGTAGCTGAGATTATAGGCACCGGCCACTGTGCCTGGCTAATTTTTGTATTTTGTAGAGACGGGGCTTCACCACATTGGCCAGGCTGGTCTTGAACTCCTGACCTTAAGCGATCCGCCCGAAGTGCTGGGGTCACAGGCGTGAGTCACCGTGCCCAGCCAAATGGCATAATTTTGATCAGTACTGACAAAAATGTCTCAAGCGTCTCCAAGGCTCGCCATGTGCCAGGGTCTACTCAATTACCAGCACTCACAGAATCAACCCAAACCTGGGGACTGATCCCACCTACGTGAGGTGGGTCCCCTTAGCTGCATTTTACAGGACAGGACACTGGGACCCTGCTGGGGGGAGGTTCTCGGCCAAGGCCACAGGACAAGCCAATGGAAACTGGAGGGATCTGCCCCCGGCTGCTCCGCTCCGAATTCTGGCAACGCTGACCGCACCCCAATCCTCCATCCACCCGGGGCTGGAGGCGTGGGGCTCTCACCCCTGCAGAGCACCAGGTATGTGACGGCAGCCGTGCATGCCGTAGAGACAGCCAGGGAGGGGGACAGCGCTGCCTGGCATCTGCAGACAGCGAAGGCTGTGTAGGGAAGCGCGGATTTGACATTTATTTTGCACACTCCCACGTGACTTGGGCTTTAAAAGCAAGCACTGGCTCCTTTTGTAAATAAAAGACAAAAAGAAGCCACCTGACTTCTCTTCTCACGCCACTAATTGGTCCTGTGGTGCTCGGATGCCACCCCCCACCCACCCGATGAAGGCTCCCTAAGTGCACTGGGAGCACTGCCGCCACCTAGAGGCCATGATAGAAACCGTGCCCGGCTCTGGAAACTCAGTGACCTTACCTGGGGCTGGGGCCCCCTGTGGCGGCCCATCCAGGTCGGCCTTTGCCTTCTTCACCACGACCAGCCCCGACAGCGGGGGCCGGCTGCCCAGGCTGCCAATGCTCTGCTCCCAGACCTCCACCTTCCTCTTGGGCTTTGGTGCCTGTAGGTGATAGGGACATGTGAGGGGGTCTGGCCCCTCTGCCCCCAACCCCTGCTCACGGCCCCACTGACCACATTCCTCTTCTGCTCTAACCTCCTCTATGGCCCCCTGCTGCCCTAGGCTAGGCACTAAAGGCCTCTGCCCATTCTCCATCCCACATAACCTGGTCTGGCACTACCTGAATCACACTGTGTCTTCTCATCTTCATGCCTTTACCCATGCTATTCCCTTCACCAGGGGTGTCCCCTTTTCCACGCACTTGCTTGGTGAACTCCTACTCGCCCTTCAATACCCAACATAAAACACCCCACCTCTGAGAAGCCCATCATGATTCAAGCTCACATGCAGGCTGCATGTCCATGCTCACTGTGCCCTCTGCTGGCTGTTAGAACTCTCTCCCTAACTCACTGTGAGCCCGTCTTCCCCACTGCTGGTTCTGTAGTGCCACAAACAGTTCCCAACACAAGAAGGTGCTTAATCAATGTGCTTGAGGGAACAAGTGAAAACGGAGGAGGTTGCTATGAGGAAGAGTTAGGGACAGGTAGAAAAGGGTCAGCACGACCTCCAGCTCCCTAACTGCAACAGAAGGGCCCCTTTAATCTACTTTTATTTATTAAAAAAACATTTTTTTTGAGAGAGTCTCACTCTATTGCCCAGGCTGGAGTGCAATGGTGCAATCACAGCTCACTGCAGCCTCGAACTCCTGGGCTCAAGCGATCCTCCTGCCTCAGCCTCCTGCAGGAGCGCGTCACTATGGCAGACTAACATTTTGATTTTTCATAGAGATAGGGTCTCACTGTGTTGCCCAGGCTGGTCTCGAACTCCTGGCTCAAGCGATCCTCCCATCTCAGTGTCCCAAAGAGCTGGGATGACAGGCGTGAGCCAGACAGAGTCTCATTCTGTCACTCAGGCTGAGTGACCTCCGCTCACTGCAACCTCCGCCTCCCGGGTTCAAGAAATTCTCCTGCCCCAGCCGCCCAAGTAGCTGGGAGTACACGCACCCACCACCACGCCCAGCTAATTTTTGTATTTTTAATAGAGATGGGGTTTCACCATGTTGGCCAGGCTGGTCTTGAACTGTTTCAAGTTCTGTGCAGCTCTGTGAACTGTGTGACTCTGTTTTATGTTTAAATAGAGGAAGTGGTAGCCACTGGGTTAAGGAAGTCCTGGTGGGTGCTCTGCCCTCACGGAGCTCACCATGTGGGGAGAGAGAGGGACAAGGAGACCAGTACCCACGACAACATCCATCTGGGTGAGAGTGAAGCCAGGGCACGTGAGCTTGAACTGTGAGGATGAGTTTCTCAGAGGAAGGGTGTCTTGCATTGGGTATTGAAGGGTGAGTAGGAGTTCACCAAGCAAAGGGGGCATCCCAGGTAAAGGAGATGGCATGGGTAAAGGCGTGGAGATGAGAAGCCAAGATGTGATTCAGGAAGTGCCAGGGCAGTGCATATGAGGGATGGAGAAAGGACGGTGGCTTTCAGTGTCCAGCCGAGAGTGGGGGGTGGTGGCCACTGTGAAGGTGTCGGAGAGACCTCTTTCAAGTCGTAGCTCCGGACTGATTTCAGAATGAGGAAAAGAGGTTAAAGGCACAGACGGCCAGGTGCGGTGGCTCATGCCTGTCATCCCAACACTTTGGGAGGCCGAGGTGGATGGATCACTTGAGGTCAGGAGTTCGAGACCACCCTGGCCAACACGGGGAAATCATGTCTCTACTAAAAAGAAAATACAAAAATTAGCCAGGTGTGGTAGCACACGTCTGTAATCCCAGCTACTCAGGAGGCTGAGGCAGGAGAATTGCTTTAGCCTGGGAGGCAGAGGTTGCAATGAGCCAAGATCGTGCCACTGGACTCCAGCCTGGGTGACAGAAAAAAAGTGACATAGGTTAGTTCCAAAAACCTTTTTTTTTTTTTGAGATGAAGTCTCACTCTTGTCGCCCAGGCGAGAGTACAGTGGCGTGATCTCTGCTCACTGCAGCCTCCAACTCCCAGTTCAAGCGATTCTCCTGCCTCAGCCTCCTGAGTAGCTGAGATTACAGGCACCCAACCACCACGCCTGACTACTTTTTGTACTTTTAGTAGAGACAGGGTTTCGCCATGCTGGCCAGGCTGGTCTCGAACTCCTGACCTCACATGATCCACCCGCCTCGGCCTCCCAAAGTGCTGGGATGACAGGTGTGGGCCACCGCGCCCGGCCAGTTCCCAAAACTTTCTACAGGTGGTGCTCATCATCACTAGGCTCAACTAATGACTGGGAGGCCAAGGTGGGAGGACTGCACGAGGCCAGGGGTCTGAGAGCAGCCTGGGCGACATACACACTGGTCTTTTAAAAAAAGAAAGGGCCGGGCGCGGTGGCTCACGCCTGTAATCCCAGCACTTTGGGAGGCCGAGGCGGGTGGATCACGAGGTCAGGAGATCGAGACCATCCTGGTCAACACGGTGAAACCCCGTCTCTACTAAAACTACAAAACATTAGCTGGGCATGGTGGCGCGTGCCTGTAGTCCCAGCGACTCAGGAGGCTGAGGCAGGAGAATTGCCTGAACCCAGGAGGCGGAGGTTGTGGTGTGCCAAGATCGCGCCATTGCACTCCAGCCTGGGTAACAAGAGCGAAACTCTGTCTCAAAAAAAAAAAAGAAAAGAAAAGAGAAAGAAGAAAAAAGAAAGGAAGGAAGGAAGGCAGGAAGAAAATTAAAAATGAGCTGGGCATGGTGGCATGCACCTGTGTCCCAGCTCCTTGGGAGGCTGAGGTGGATCATTTGAGCCCAGGAGGTGGTGGCTGCAGTGAGCTGTTATTGTGTCACTGCACTGCAGCCTGGGTGACAGGGCAAGATCTCATCTGTAAAAGAAAAATAACATAGCCGGGCACGGTGACGTGTGCCTGTAGTCCCAGCTACTCAGGAGGCTGGGACTAGAGGATCTCTTGAGCCCAGGAGTTCTGGGCTGTAGTGCGCTATGCTGATCGGGTGTCCGCACTAAGTTCTGCATCAATATGGTGACCTCCCGGGAGTGGGGGACCACCAGGTTGCCTAAGGAGGGGGGTGAACCTGCCCAGGTCAGAAACGGAGCAGGTCAAAACTCCCGTGCTGATCAGTAGTGGGATCGCGCCTGTGAATAGCCACTGCACTCCAGCCTGGGCAACATAGCAAGACCCTGTTTCTAAATAAATAAATAAATATTTAAAAAGTAAATAAATAAAATGAAATAAACCAAGAAAATGCAAGTGTGGAGATATTGCTTCCTGTAGAAGTTAGGGTAAAGGTCTGAAAAGTTTGGATAAAGATGTATCATGTAAAACCAAATAAAACACCTGCTGTCAACAGACTGACGGAGGAAATCGTAAAAGGGTGGACTGCTTCCAAAGCAGCTTCACTCTCTTGATTCACTGTTTTAAAACAGAGAGGACATTGCAGACAATGAATTCTGGGAGTGGTTTATGTAAGAACCACAGTGTGAGAACTCTAACCAGGGGATACAGCTGCAAAGAAAATGTCTTTTAAAAACGTGTCTTGGGTTTTTTAAGACATGGTGGCTGATGCCTGGAATCCCTGTGCCTTTAGAGGCCAAGGCAGGAGAACCGCTTGAAGCTGGGAGCTTGAGACCCGCCTGGGCAACACGGCAAGACCGCGTCTCTGCAAAAGCAATTTGAAAAACCAGGAGATGGGCGCATGACTCACGCCTGTAATCCTAACACTTTGGGAGGCGGAGGCAGGTGGATCACCTGAGGTCAGGAGTTCGAGACCAGTCTGGCCAACAAGGTGAAACCCCACCTCTACTAAAAATACAAAAATTAGCTAGGCATGGTGGCATGCACCTGTAATCCCAGCTACTTGGGAGGCTGAGGCTGGAGAACTGCTTGAACCTGGGAAGCAGAGGCTGCAGTGGGCCGAGATCGTGCCACTCTACTCCAGCCTGGGCAACAAGAGTGAAACTGTCTAAAAA